GAGAGACAGACAGACAGACATTTTCACTATTTGAAAACTTATTGGCGTAGTAGGTCTACTTAAAAGATGCCCTCTACCCCACCCCGTTGTTTTGGATTTTAAATTGCTTTTTTTTCTTTGGAACTGAGGCCTCAAAAAATATAATAATATCCCTTGAAAGAATAAGATCATAAAATTGGGGGAAGTACTTTACTTAAATTTGGAAATTTTCCGATCTCAATTCTTTCCCCCGTTATCTGCACTCTGACTCTAGGCCTTGGCCTAGCCTATAGACACTCACAGAGTCCGATTGTCGTTTCTTCTATTCCCTTGGGAGTTGGGGGGGGGGGGGGGGGGGGGCGAAGCTGCTGCTTGGTGCTTTATGTTTGCCTCTTGCAGCACAGTTCTTCCTTATACTTTTCTTCCATTGTTAGGAAGGCTTTCTTATTCTTTTCAGTGGCTATGTAACATTCTTTGTTGGTGTTGTTGTCCATCCGAATGGGCGTCCTTTCCACCAAGTTGTCTGAGAGCAGATGGGAATCGTGGGTTTACGTGAAGAACATAATATAGCACAATAATTCAAATAGGCTTAATGGTACCATACTAACAAAAAGTGGGAGTACGCCTACATGTCGTTTTTAAATGGTCTGGTAGGGTTTGTTTTTTTCCAGAACATAAAATACCGTAGGCCTTCATGCAAGCAACGCTTGAGGAATAGAGCTGCGGATGTCGTCCAACTCATTGTTAAGACCAGGCTTGAGCTACTGTAACAGATTATCTCCTTTTTAAACAATCTACGGGTGAACTTGAACTGGGCCACACTGGAGCCCAGAGAAGGCTTGCTTGGCCGGGAAAATAATATTTAAAAAACTAAAACGAGCAGCCAAAGACAGAACCTAGCCATTTGACTACGGTATCGCATTACACGTAATAACAACGTCAACGTTAAATTATACCGTACATGTACTTTCTTTCCTTCTTTCTTTCTTTCTTTCCAGGCACACTGTGGAATGTAGCCTTCCAACATTGGCATCCATTCTGTTCTATCTGCTGTTCTTTGTATCCGGCTGTTCCCATCTGTTCTCTGGTGTCATCTTGGTCGTTTTCTTGTTCTTTTATGTCCATTCAGAGCATTTTTTGTTTATCTGTTATCTTTTGTTTGTTTGTTTAGTATAGGGTTTTACGGCGCTCGCAACTGCATAAGGTCATATGAGCGCGCGGGACACACCTAATACTTTTTCGTTGGTAGGAAATTTTGAATTTTGGCCGGGTGGCGGCCGAAGCCTACTCTTATCGATTTTAGACCATCAAGGGATCTTTAACGTGCGCAACTTGCACACGGGCCCTCCGAGATTTTTCGCCCTTGTCCGAGAAGGCTAGGTGTAGATCTTTCCTACCAGAAGATCAGGGGTGTGGTAGAAAGACAGCAGTTAGGAGGAGCCAAGGAGTAGCAGTAGAAAGGCTGCAGAAAGAGTCAGGAGCCCAGAGGAGGGGGCAAAGGAGGTGAGGGGGTGGGGGCAGAAAGTGGAAATGAAAGCAGACAACAGAACATTGTTAGAGATCAGGAAAGGATGTGAAAGGAGACAATTTTAGAGAAGAAAATTTTTTGGTCGCTACCCGGAATCGAACCCGGGACCTTTGAATGAGAGGCCAACACCTTACCTCTAGGCCACGAGAGCCCCCTCACTTTTCTCTATCGTAAAAATGTAATATTTCCTTCCACAGATTGCCAAATCGACCAGACTCGGAAATTTCTTAGATACCAGTTATTATTATGAACGTGTTTTAAATTCCACTCCAACCCCCCTCCCATCCCCACAAAAAAAAGAAATTTGAAAAAAGAAAAAATGTACTAGAAAAAAAATCGGAATCTGCAAATGTGTTCGCTATGTGCGTGTTTCGATGAGTGATCTTTAGGTTCGTGTTGGATTGTACTTTCATTGAACTCCCATAAGCAAATTAACGTACTTTTATAGACTTCAAGGCTTCTAGATAATGTACCACGGTCTTGTTCGTGTTTGACAGACAAATCTTTCACGTAACCCATTAGAGTTCTGAACAAAATACTGAACAAAACAACTGTCCAGCCCACGCTCTATAATAATAATAATAATAATAATAATAATAATAATGATGATGATAAAAATAATAATAACAACAGCAACAACAGCAGCAACAATAACAATAATAATAATAATAATAATATAATATAACATAATAATATATATAATATATAATATATATAATATATGATAAAATATATAATAACACACACATATATAATATGTATATATATATATATATATATATGTATGTATTATAGA